TACAGTGTATTGTGACGCTTCTTAGATTGGTATTGGGTGTGTCTTATTGAAAATTTGGAGGCATTGTCTCTACGGTGTGTCTTGTGAGGTGTTTACAGATCATCATAGTCTCCAGCACTTATTCAAATTAAAATATCTAAATTTGAGGCTGTGGAGATGGTTGGAGCTGCTAAAGGACTATGATATTACTATTCTGTATCATCCCGGGAAGGCCAATGTGGTGGTTGATGCCTTGAGTAGAAAGGTGGTAAGTATGGGTAGCTTGCATTCATTCCTATTAGTGAAAGGCCTTTTGTAGTTGATGTTCAGACCCTGGCCAATCATTTCGTGAGACTAGATATTTCGGAACCCAGTCGGGTTCTAGCTTGTATGGTTTCTCGGTCTTCTTTATATGATCGCATCAGAGAGCGCCAGTAAGATGATCCCCATTTGCTTGTCCTGAAGGACACAGTTCAGCACGGTGATGCCAGAGATGTTACTATTAGGTATGATGGGGTATTGAGGATGCAGGGTCAGATTTGTGTGCCTAATGTGGATATGCTGCGTGAATTAATTCTTGAAGAAGCCCACAGTTCGCGGTATTCCATTCATCCGAGTGTAGCTAAGATGTACCAGGATTTGAGGCAGCACTATTGGTGGAGAAAAATGAAGAAAGACATAGTTGGGTTTGTTGCTCGATGTTTAATTATCAACAGGTGAAGTATGAGAATCATAGACCGGGCGAATTACTTCAGAGACTTGAAATTCTAGAGTGAAAGTGGGAGCATATTAGCATGGACTTCATAGCTGGCCTTTCACAAACTTTAAGGAAGTTTGATGTTGTTTGGGTGATTGTAGATCGGTTGACCAAGTCCGCACACTTTATTCCAGTTGGTAATACATAATCTACGGAGCGGTTGGCTGAGATTTACATCCACGAGATTGTTCGCCTTCACGGTGTGCTAGTGTCCATCATTTTAGATCGGCACACACAGTTTACATCACAGTTTTGGAGAGCAGTGCAACGAGAATTAGGTACACAGGTTCAATTGAGTACAACATTTCACTCTCAGATGGACGGACAGTCCGAGTGCACTATTCAGATATTGGAGGATATGTTACGCGTTTGTGTCATTGATTTTGGGGGTTCTTGGGATCAGTTTCTGCCCCTTGTAGAGTTTGCTTTCAATAACAGCTACCAATCAAGCATTTAGATGGCTCTGTATGAGGCTTTATATGGGAGACGATGTCGGTCTCCGGTGGGTTGGTTTAAACCAGGTGAGGCTAGGCTATTGGGTATTGATTTGGTGCAAGATGCCTTGGAAAAGTTTAAATTAATTCAGGATCGACTTTGTACGGCGTAGTCTAGACAGAATAGTTATGCCGATCGGAAGGTCCATGATGTTGCTTATATGGTGGGGGAAAAGGTTCTGCTCAAGGTTTCACCCATAAATGATGTGTTGAGGTTCGAGAAGAAGGGCAAGTTGTGTCCTAGGTATATTGGGCCTTTTTAAATACTTAAGAAGGTTAGAGAGGTGGCTTATGAACAAATGTTTCATGTATCTATGCTACGGAAGTATGTCGGAGATCCATCTCATGTTTTGAATTTCAGCACAGTGTAGTTGGATGGTAATTTGACTTATGATGTGGAGCCGGTGGCTATTTTAGACTGGCAGATTCGAAAGTTGAGATCAAAGAACATAGCTTCAGTGAAAGTGTAGTGGAGAGGCCGGCCAATCGGAGAAGCTTCCTGGGAGACTGAGCGGGAGATACAGAGCAAATATCCACAGCTATTTGAGACTTCAGGTAGAATTCTAAACCCGTTCGAGGTCGAACGTTTGTTTAAGAAGGGGAGAATATAATGACCCGGCTGGTCGTTTTGAGTATCACAACCCCGTTCCCCTATTTACTGTTCAATTTATGCTTTACAGTTGTTATATGACTTGCCGGGATAATTGGTTCGGGTCCGATCAGGTTTTGAAATGAATTGAGACACTTAGTCTCCAAAATTGAAACATAAGTTGAAAAAGGTTGACCGGCTGTTGACTTATGTCTAAATGACCACGAAATAGAATTTTTATGATTACAATAGCTCTGTATGGTGATTTTGGAGCATGTCCGGAAAATTATTTGGAAATCCGAAGTTAAATTAGACTTGAAATGGATAAAATAGAAATTTAAGTTTGGAAGTTTGACCGGGGAGTTGACTTTTTGATATCGGGGTCAGAATCTGATTCTGGAAATTATAATAGGTCTGTTATTTCATTTATGACTTGTGTGCAAAATTTGAGGTCAATCGGAATTGATTTGATAGGTTTCGGCATCGAATGTAGAAGTTGGAATTTCTTAGTTTCATTAAGTTTGATTTTGGGTGTGATTCGTGGTTTTAACGTTGTTTGATGTGATTTGAGGCCTAGACTAATCTTGTATGATGTTTTAGGACCTGTTGGTATTTTTGGTTAAGGTCCCGAAGGCCTCGGGTGAGTTTCGAATAGCTAACGGATAAAATTCAAACTTAACACCACTGCTGGAAATTTTGCTTCTGATTTTCTCGCACCTGCAGAGGTTTGATCGCATGTGCGAAGCTGTATGTGCGCACCGGTCCATCACAGAAGTAGCCAGGCATGAAGAGGGGGCAGTGAACGCAGATGCGAAGAAATTTCCGCACCTGCGACGTCGCAGGTACGAAGCTATGCACGCAGAAGCGGAAAAGGAAAGGGGAGATGGCTTCGTAGAAGCAAAGAAAATGTCGCAAGTGGGACTCCGCAGAAGCAGGCTTCCTTTCCGTAGAAGCGACGAAGCCGCAGAAGCGAAGGAATTCTCGCATCTGCGAGACCGCTGGTGCGGTTAAAAATTCCGCATAAGCGAAAACCCCTGGCCAGTACAAAAACAGAGAGGTTCCGAACTTTTGCCATTTTTGGGCATTTCAAGCTCGAGTTGGGCAATTTTTGAAGACGCGTTCGCGTTCGCGAAGAAGAGAGGAGGCAGCTGGAGACCCCAAGCATGTGGTCTACGCATTCACATTGGGGAGGTCGCGTTCGCGAAGTGAGGGGGCAGCGAAGCATCACGTTCGTTGTTGGTTGAACGCGTTCACGTAGAAGGTATTTGAGGCAGAAGCACTTGGTGCTTCACGAATGCGAGGGAAATGCCGCGTTCACGAAGGGAGAATTTGGGAAGAACGAAATTTGTGCTTCGCGAACGCGAGGCAGTGGCTGCATTCGCGAAGAAGAAATGCCTGGACATAAAATTTATGTTCTCATTTTCTATTTTTGACAAATTGGAGCTCGGGAAGAGGTAATTTTCGGGAGAGTTTCAAGGAAAATAACGGGATAAGTGAATCTTAACTCAATATTAGTAAAATTACCCGAATCCATAGTTGTTTTTAACATTTAATTGGTGAATTAAGTTGGACAATTTAGAAAACTCTCTTGGTTTAATTTAAGGATTTGAGGGTCGAGTTGATGTGAGAATTTGGTAAAATTTATATGGTTGGACTCGTGGTTGAATGGACATTCGTATTTTATAACTTTTGTCGGGTTCCGAGACGTGGGCCCCACAGACGATTTTTGAGTTAAATTTTGGATTTTGTTGGAATATTAGTATTTTCATATGGAATTAATTTCAATAAATTGTATTGGCTGAATCGAATTAATTGTGATTAGATACGAGGCTTTCGGAGACCAATTTGCGAGGCAATGGCGTAGCGGAGTAAGAAATTACACGGTTTGAGGTAAGTAACACTTCTAAACTTGGTTCTGAGGGTATGAATCCCCGAATTTGGTGTTATATAAATTATTTAGAGGTGACGCACACGATAGGTGACAAGCTTAGGGAATTGAGTTGAGACTTGTATTAAAGATCATGATTAGGCTATGTGTCGATATTTTTGGAATCCAAAAGGGCGTGTTGCTGTTGAATTTAATTATTTTAAAAGGTATACATCATACTCAGTCATGTTCATCCATTGTGAGGATATTTATAGGACCGGGGGTTCTCGCCTGCAATAGGCCATATTGTCTTTATATTTATTATTATTATTATATGGAACGAGGTTGCCCGCCTATAGTAGGACTTATAGGCTTTATCATTATATGGATCGGGGATGCCCGCCTGCAGCAGGCCATATCAGCTTTATCACGCTTGGCTGAAGGAGCTCCTCCGGAGTCTGCAACCCCCATAGTAAGCGTAGATTATTTATATTCGGGATGGACTTCCCAGGGCATGGACTTGCCTTAATTATTTATATTTGTGATGAAATTCCCTGGACATGGATCTTGTCTTAATCATTTACATTTGGGGATAAATTTTCTGGGCTGGATTGGCCTTATATAGTACTGAGTAACCGAGTAATTAGTAATCGTGAGTACACGAGGTTTTCCACTGAGATATCATATTCCTCATATCATGCAGTATTGATCTATCTTACTTGTACTGAGTTTAGTTGTCGAACTTGAAAGCATGCCTACATTTCTGTATTGTTATTTTTATACTGGATTGTACATGTGGAGCGTGTCACTACTTTCGGCCCAGAGGTTAGTCTTGTTACTTATTGAGTTGGTTGTACTCATACTACACTCCGCACCTCGTGTGTAGATGCAGGTGCTTTCGGACTCGACGACTGTTAGATCTCAAAGTGCTATCAGTTGGAGACTATCAAGGTAGCTGCCCGGCGTCCGCTCACCTTGATTCTCTTTTTTCAGTTATTGTACTGTTCTATATTTTCAAATAATATTTTTATTAGTCAGACTTTGTATTTATTTAGATGCTCATGTACTCAGTGACACCGAGTTTTGTGAGTGTTTTATATCTGTATTTATGAGATTTTTCCGCTGAATTTAAATATTATGTTTTCAAACTTAAGAGAAATTGTCGATTATTGATGTTGTCGGCTTGCCTAGTATTGAGATAGGCGCCAGCACGACGAGTGAAATTTTGGGTCACGACAGGTGAAATTAACCCTTCTTTTTTTATAAAAGAAACATTATTTTCCTTTACTAATTTCATGGATACAAGGTAAAGAACAAAAAGTAACTTACCCTAGATATCAAGTTCTCTTGTCTTCTCCAGTATCCATCTCTCCCAATCTTTCAAATTCCTTTCTGAAAATCTTTAGAGAACAAAAAAAAAAACAAGCAAGAAAGAAAATGGTACTAAGTAATAATGTCATAGGGTGCATCAACTTTGTAGCCATGCTATTGTCAATTCCAGTGATTGGTGCTGGAATCTGGCTAGCAATGGAAACTGACAACTCTTGTGTCAAGATTCTACAATGGCCAGTTATTATCTTAGGAGTTCTCATTTTAGTTGTCGCTCTTGCTGGTTTTATTGGAGGGTTTTGGAGGATTCCAACACTGCTCATTTTCTACCTCATTGCTATGCTCATTCTCATAGTTTTGCTTGCATGTTTGGTAGTTTTTATTTACATGGTCACTATTAGAGGTTCAGGCCATATGGAACCAAGTAGGGCTTATTTGGAATACCATCTTGATGACTATTCTGGCTGGCTTAGAAGGAGAGTTCAAAGTTCTTACAAATGGGATAGAATAAGAAGTTGCCTTAGCTCCACAACTATGTGCGCTCAGTTGAATCAAAGTTATCGCATGGCTCAAGATTTCTTTAATGCTCCTCTTAGCCCTTTGCAGGTAAGTTTTTCTTGCATGAATTCATGCTTTTGTGATTTTTCAACTCATATAAAAGGTAGCACATGAGATTTCCTGGTTTAGTATAAAAAGGAAAACGGAAAATAATTCTACCAAGAAACTTTTTTATTTTTTTCCTACGAAATCTTATGGAGATTTAATATTGTTTCCCATTTTTGCTCTCTTAGAATGGATTGAAAATAAAGTAGGTAGTAGCTACGTCTTCTAATTTATGCGTGTACGAAGCAAAATATTACTTAATCATGTTAGTATGTATATTTTAAGTCCAGTATTATTTGCTTGGAGGCGTCTATTCTGTAATATTGTAATGTTAAGAGTTTAGGTGGACCTTAATAGACAGGCATCAAAGTGAGGATTCATAAAATCGTCACCAAATTGATTTGGGTTGAAGTTGTTGTTTTCCTTGTATTAAGAAAAGTATTATAAATTCTTATGATGGGAAGCTTTCTTTCTTAGAGGACAACCCTTTTCAACTGTGATTATACCTGGAGTGATTCCAACATCAAACAAGTATACATAAAGCATAGACAAGAATTAACAAAAGCAAGCAAGTTTTTACTTAAAAGACGCAAGAATCTTATCCTTTTCCATGTGGTAATATGCCTTGGAACTAAATTCTTTTTAGGCATTCTTCACGTATGTTTTCTTTTTGCAGTCAGGGTGCTGTCCCATATATGTTGAAGTTTAATTAGAAAAAATTTAAAAACTTGTCCCATATATGTTGAACTATTTTTTAACCTAAAGGCATTGGGATTGATGTCTTGGCTATTTGGTCCGTGAAAATTGACTTTTGTGGTGTTGGAGAAATGATGAATCACGAATTACGAACAAGAACAGCTTCATCATTTACGGAAGGCGCCGAAAGTTGATATTTTCAATGTTTTCGAGAAACAAAAAAAATCCATTGAAAAGAGAATATAGAGAGATTGATTGTCCTATGTGGGGCATATCATCAAAACTAACTACTAAGAATATAATTGTGCTCCCACTAAACTTTTTATACACACAAGTTTATTCTACCCATCTAACAAAATTTAATTTTTTAATTTTCTTGTTAAAGCGAATATTCCAACTTTGAGAAGCGTCGCTATCCAAAATATGATCAGTCATGATGACACATAACTCAACTCATTAGATAAGTCAATTAACTACAATCTAATTAATTAGGTTATCAAGAAAAATAAATAATAAAATTACTGAACTTTTCTATTTTTTTCGAGAACTAGTAATATAAATCATGAACTTTTAAAATTTAGAATTTGCAAAACTAACATGAAATAAAATACATCATCGGTTTGAAATATACATGAACAGATTAAAAATTCTAAAACTACCAACAACAAGAGGTAGTCATGACCGGATTGCGGAAACATCTTTAATGCCGGCTCCCGCTATACACCGCAACATCAGCATCCAAAATCTGCACACAAGGTGCAGAAGTGTAGTATGAGTACAACCGACCCCATGTACTCAGTAAGTATTTTGTCTAACCTCGTCGAAGTAGTGGCGGAGATTTTTAGTAAAAAACAATACTCACTGTTATAACCTGTGCAATATACTAACAATAGAAACAATTATACAATATAACAGATAAGGGTACAATGAAACAACTATGCGAGGCAGAAAAAGATTACTAGGAGAAATCACAATAGCAAATTCATAACTTTACTGGTGTAAGGAATATATTCAAGATATCACATCAAATGGTACGATAATACATTCGTGCACTTGTCTCTTTCTCATCCCATTTATATATGTAGATCAAATCAATTGGCACGGCAACACCCTTCGTGCATTTATCTGTTTCTCACCAAGCATAATATAACAGTACCAACTAGGTGGGAGAAATATCAATAGCAATAAAAGAAATAACATGGGAGGCACACAAGAAGCAACAACGAACAAAGCAGTGCATATGGACCGTAGAATCAGGCTGGAAAAAAGCATAGAAATTATGACAATAATTAGGAAGGAAGGATATGAATTTCACTAATTAGCATGGTAGAAGGCTGAGATACAAATATAACAAATAAGAAGAAAAACATAATATTTGCAAGTTAAATAGATAGAAGGCATGGATACACTGCAACACTTGGGAGTTGAGGACACATGAAGAACGACTACAAGTCACATAGAAAATATAGGTGCACAAAAACAGCTCAAGATAAAGATATGAATGTATGCACAACAAAAAGATATCACAATATAATGTATGTCTCTTGTCCTCGGCTGCACGGAAACACCCTTCGTGCCATGAACATATGATAATATAAAAATGATGGCACGTCATCACCCTTCGTGCTTTTACTCTCATCCTCACATGATAATGTAAATGAAATGGCACGGTATTATCCTTCGTGCTTAATAATGTATATGAATGGCTCGGCATCACCCTTCGTGCTTTTACTCTCATCCTCACATGATAATGTAAATGAAATGGCACGGTATTATCCTTCGTGCTTAATAATGTATATGAATGGCTCGGCATCACCCTTCGTGCTTTATACTTTTCCTCATATGATAATATAACTGAAATGGCATGGCATCACCCTTTGTGCTTTACACTCTTTCTCATATGATAATGTATATGAAATGGCACGGCATCACCCTTCGTGCTTTACACTCTTTCTCATATGATAATGTATATGAAATGGCACGGCATCACCCTTCGTGCTTTACACTCTTCCTTACCAAATACATATATATCATTAACAAGCGCGGTAGGAAGCATAAATAACATCAAGGAGAGTGTTTAAACAAATGTTCCGAATTGAATATCAATCACGGATTTCATGCCAATAACAATTCAATAAACTTCAAGTACTTTATTATTCCAGTATTTCAACAAGTATCAAAAATGATCTTCAACTCATGTATAATTCAAAACCTCAAGAATAACAGTCGTAGAGTCATTTTTGTGATTATGTATAATAACGACCGGATTTAGCACATCAATAATTTTCACAAAAGTCCATCAGATTTTTAATCAAATTATAATAAGCCAAATCAGGGTTTCTAGCATTTAATGTCATATTCATCGAAATCTAGAAGTCAAAGAAGATATGAAACAAGAGTGTCACATAATTCTACAAAGCACAATAAATCGTATAATTTATCCCCGAACATGATTAAGAGTGGCACATGCATATATGCTCATTACCTCATATATGTATTACCCCCGCATGTAACAAACAATGGCAATTAGTAGGAAAAATTCCCTCAACAAAGTTAGGCAAAACACTTGCCTCAAACAAGCCAAATCCAATGCCGAGAAAGATAAACAATACACCGAAAATTCCATTCTGCACGTATCAACTTCCAAACGCCTTCCTATCTCCTCAATTCAAGCCAAATGATCCGTATCTATTCAAATAATGTGCAAATTAATCACAATATACTCCAATGCTTACAATTCAATAATTTATAGAATTTTCCAACTGCGCTCAAAAGGTTGACTGTGGGGCTCACGTCTTGGAATCTGATGAAACTCATAAAATACGATAATCCATTCAATTACGAGTCCGACCATACTAATTTTACTCAAATCAGACTCTGAATCGATGTCCAAAACTCGAAAATGTATTTTATGGAATTGTAGAAAATTCCTCCGATTCTTCTTGAAAAATCAATTATCTAACGGCGAAAATGAAGATTAATTCATGAAATATAATCACAAGGAAGTCAAGAACACTTACCCCAAGTTGTGTGATAAAGTTTTCCTCTGAAAATCGCCCAAACCGTGCTCCAAAAATCCCAATAGGTCTGACAACACAACATAACTGTAGATCATTACTCTAACCTTTGTCCGTAAAACTTAGAACCCAAATTTCGAACATCCAAAATTTCTTACAAGACTTGAATATCTCATTTTCATATTGTATAAGTCTGAACAGGTCGTGCCAAGCCTTAACCATGACTCAATATGTAATCATGTGATACACCATATTACTCAGATACTCACAACAATAACTTACGACTACCATAGCTTAGCCCAAAACAAATCCGGATACCGGTAGTAAACATCATCTCAACCAAGATAAGCAACCCAACTAACAAGTCACACCAAAAGCCCTTCCCCATGTTCTTTGAGAACCATGTGAACGGAGAGTGGGCAGAATAGAAGGAGGACACAATAAGTCATGAGCGAACCTAGGATCTTCAAGACCAGCCTTTCACTTCTAAGAAGTGGGAAATGGGAGTCAATCGATGACTGGAATTTCTTAGAAAGATTGCCTAATGCCTTATCTCTTCTAATTCCATCACACTTTCTTTCTAGACGCTTATCCTTTTTGGCTGTAGGGTTGGGGTGGCTTGTTGAGTGAGACTAATAGAAAGAAAGGACGGGGGTAAACCATGCATGGTAATCTCGACCCTGTCTCCGAGGGACAGTTGAACTATCGACTCATGAATATTGTCGGGCTGCTGCCCATACCGTTGATGGTCGCTTACCCAGATCTATCTATGTGTATATGCTTAGAGCTCACCTCCTCACTCGTACGACTCTCGATAGTAGAAGAGAAAAGGAACATATCCAATGAGTCTTTTTCTCGACCAATTTGAATTCCATTTCATTTTTTATTTTAAGTGTTGTAGAGTATTAAGTAGCTAGGAAGATTTTAGCGCATGCTGCATTGAGAATCTCCAAAGAAATTAGAAGCACCTATGATAGCGTATGATTATTCCCTTTTGTGACCGACGGTTGCTTGCAAGAGCTGGCGATAGACAGTGGATTATCTTCTCGGGGAAGCGGTGCTCTCTTTTGCATAAGCCATTTGTTAAGTAAGGTGATGGTGCTTTTTATCTGCTGCTTTCCCTCCTGGCAAGTGACTTAAAGAAAACAAGTGAAGTAAGTTAGTTCAGGTCTTTTTGTATGAGAGATCTTGTTCTAACAGTTTTTCCGTGAAGGCTCTCTTTTATTTTTAGGATGGCACCTTTGTTCAAGACCACAGGACGAGATAGGGTCCCGTTGAATTATACCTACCTGGTAAAGCCCGCCACAACGGTCGTTTTCTACCTCTCGAACACATGGATGCCAAGGTCCTTTTCATTAAGATTTTAGGACTCCTAGTTCTAACTTCAATCTTGGAGAAAGGTAAGTGGGCTAGGATCGGGTTGTTAGATCGAGCAAGGTTAATAATCCCCACACAACGCGATTCTGTATACTAAACAAGTAATAATTTAGACATGACAGATAATAGTAAGAAAATTAACAAGAAGGCTACTAAGCAAGTTAAGCAAGCAGGGAAATTAACATATTCCTATGAACTATTTTCAAACAAGAGCAAAACACACGAAATAAGCATAAGGAATTTCATCTCACCATAGTACAGTTGCGACGCGTAACCCGATCCAATAACAGTAACCGGATCTCCCACAACTCGCATCAATATCAACCACATGGATAACTCACATTTTTGCATGAATAACTCATGTGCTATAGTACAATATCTAGATCCGTACGGACAACTCACGTGTTATAATAACATAATCCGCCCGGCATAGTCATAGGCTTCCAGTCCGAACGTACTATACAAGAGCAGTTAAATAAGTATACGCGTGTGTGATTAATGAAAAAAGATTCTCATACTCCTAGACTGGTATAAATGATATGATAAAGTGTAGGTATGTGCAATGTGTGCTATCATAGCTCAATTCGGCAAGTTACCATAGAAAGTTTTTAATCATCAAATTTTATCAGGGAGTTAACTTCTTTGTAACCTCAAATATAGCTCAAATAGTTCACAACAATGGTACAATTACGAGAAAAC